GCGACTCCACATTTCGGGAGAATGAGAGCTCCGAGCGAATGGGCGTCCCGAGCGAAAAGGAAATGTAGGTTTGGGCCTGTCGTTCCTGGGCTACAGCACTCTTGTCAACCGGACATGCTCTCGTTGCAAGGAGGTATTTTTTCATCGCATCTGCCGGCTCAGCAGTTGAAGGAAGAATAAAAAGGAAGCGGGAACAGAGATGAAAGGAAAGAAAAAGGAAGGAAGAAGAAAAAGGGGAGGAGGAGGGAGGCTGCGCGGTTGACAAGTATCCTGAGACGGTCGTTCCTGGAGGGAAATCAGCGTTTCAGGCGAGAAGGGTAGTATAGGCATCGATGGGCGCTCAGAACGCCGATTCGCTCGAAACGTCGATACGAAACGGTAGCAATCGGCGGCGATCGATACCCACACTTTCCTTTTCGCTAAACGGTTCGCCCAGAACGTCGAGTCGCGAAGTATGGAGGCAGCTTAACAGAGAGGGCGCATCAGGTGGGCGCTCAAGCGCCAACCACCTGCGCGAGTTTATCAGCGCGTCAGAAATTCTTTTAAAATGGACACACTGATAAGGTTCAGAGATTTCGTCGCATTCGTCGCCCTGCCTGCCGTTTTGCCGTTTGAAAGTTGCTGCATTGAGCGTTTGGTGTTGAACAAAAGAAATCTCTCGAAGTGCAAAGGTGAAAACGAGTTTATCCTGTGGTTTCTCAGGAATGCTTAAAGAGCAGTTTAGCCTGTTATGTACGACCACACTCGTGAACCAGGCTAGCCCAACCTCAGAATTTTACTGGGATGGAAATGTCAGCCAGTTATCGAGTTTCAGATGAGAGCATTGGTAACGTCGTCGGGACAACGTCACCGTCTGCTTCAACGGGTACTTGATCGGCCGGGTTTGTGGAGTTTGATTTGTTATGCGGCTGCACTCTACTATGCTTCCTTCATTCTGGATTTCAACAATGCTGAACATACAAGGTTTGTGAAGTTAGCTATGTGTTGATTTCACGGATCTCTTCGAGTGGACTGTATGCTGTTTTAGGCTGCGCTCATACTTTTCGCTGACGTTTTGAGCGTTAAAACGCTGGTTCGTTCCCTATGCTTTCCTTTCCGCCCAGAATGCTCAAAACATTGACGAAAAGTATAAACCAGCCTTACGTTCCCGAAATCGAGTAGCCGAATTAGGGAGAACTTTATCTCCGGAAACTGCTTAAAGACCGTCCCGCGCTCGAACAATTTGTAGACGTCCTTCCATGTTCAGGTAGTCTTATGGTTAGTCTGGCTCACAGTCTCTAAGATTACCCCACTTTCGCGGTTTCACAGTTAGTAACGAAGGGGCTGAGGTCCTCATAAGTGGCAATCCTGACGGTTCCTTGGTTGTCCCGCTCACTGAATCAAAGGCTACTTTCTTCGCAAGTTCAGTTTTTACTCCATGTTTTCTTTGTTTTTTTTTACTGTGACATGGTTTTGACATTGGGTGACGCGAAGGAAGGGTTAGCGAGCCGGAGGCGGCAAGATATCGTTTTACTGGCATAACGAGTAGGTCCGGAGAATACCCACAGGCCAACGGTTTTTACTGCATTCTTCATGATTTGTTCTTTGTCTTTTTCATCCCTGTGGAGTCCACTTAGCCACTGTAGGTTTTTTACTTGAATGCCGCTATCCACGGTATGCATTGGCGGGGTAATGTATCGAAGTGGAACGATTTCGGGAGATTCCGGCGTGGCAGAGAGGGGAAAGTTATTTAGGGCCGATAAACCGCTTCATGACAATTTCCTTTTGAAGCAGCTTCACTTTTCAGACATTAGGAATGCATGCACTATGCAGGTCTTGTGGTGTCGAACGATTTCGATAAAGATTGCGCACTAGCCAGCCGAAACTGTCAAGGGCTCCGGATACGCAGAACAGCTGAGCTGCCACTACTTCGCAACGACTAGGAGCACTGTAAATACTCTGGCGTCATTAGGTCTGTATTTTCAAAGACAATTCAGCTCATTAGGTGGTGTTTCGAGTGATAAACAGAATAAACTATGCGAATTGCAAGCAGGCTGGACTGTTGTGTCGTACTCACACTGGTGGTATGGTGCTTAAGATCAGCGGTTAGTTAGTGTTATTGTGTACTTATTGATAAGTAGGCGTGGCGTCGTAATCTGCCTTTGATATTTCGGGATTCGGCAACCCCATGTTGCAGTCTGGCAGGTACCGCGTCTAAAATGCGTAAAGTTGACCTTTTTGAGGTTATACGTACTCAGAACATTTTGACATTTGAGCGCTCTTGTGTTGTTTACACTAGCTTAAACTATTTTGGTCGGCCGTTGGTGAGGACAACATGTTTGGTTTTCAACGCGAACAAATTTTTTTGACAGTCAAATGTTCATGCATAATGAATGCTGGTCCCCTTGAAGCTTAAGGTTGTCTCGGACCAGCATACATTCAATATTGCATGAACATTTGACTGTCAAAAAAATTTGTTCGCGTTGAAAACCAAACATGTTGTCCTCACTCAAGCGCACCAAATATGTTACAGCTAACCGTGTAGAACAACCAAAGAGGCCATCAAATGTCATAAATTGTCTGAGTATTATACTTCAAAAAGTTCAAACTTTACGAGAAGAGTGTCACTGCCAACTGGCAAACACTGGGGTTGCCGAATCTCCGAATATATCAATTAAGACAGCCTATCGTAATTACCAGTTTGGCCGCGGTTTCGGGTCAATAGTGGGGGTACCGACTTATACTTACTTAGTACTTAGCCAAGCTTGTATAGGCCACCTTGGGGAGACCTGCAAATTTCTATGACCAAAGTGCTTGCTTGCTGGGACGGCAGCTTGCGGGCAGTGAGGTTTACAACTCTGGCCGAATTAGACCTCTTAAACTCTGTGATATTGATAAGTGTGAGTATTAGTTACAGAGACGGAGAGGGAACTAGCCAAAATGCAAAATGTCCCTCCAAGCCAAGCAGCACCCCAATTTTGACCGGATCCGAGGTACAGACGTTATTGCGTGGCTACGCAGCAAATTCTGCCCTCATTTCCGACCAAAACCTGTTGGAGTTTCGAGTTCAATTCGGAAGAGCCACGTAGCGTCGAGCTCTGTCTGCTTTGCGAGACTAGGACGCGTGGACTCTGGTCGTCTGCGCTCTGCCAAGATTGAGTCTCAGGACGCAAAGACGCAAACTCGCCCTTGCGCAGCTTTTCCCTCGAACCTAGTTAGCATCGTAAAATCGTTATTAGTCAATTCAGAATGTTTCGGGAACGAACGTCTACGCAGTGCTTCGTGCACCTCGTGCCACTGGGGTAGAGGCGATGGTGTTCGCTGTGGATCTCCATCAAAGAGAAGCGATGGCAATGATGATGGCGTACGCGGCGTTTGCAAGGCGTGAGTATCTTTTGCAAACCTGTATGGTCTTCATTTGGCATCAGTTTCCCCATGAATACCAAGAAATTTGAATTTATGACACCATTCATGATTACCTGATGACTAGAGGCCCTCCCGCTTATTTCGCAGCCATGTACAACTTTGAGGGAGTACCACTTGGTTACTCAAAAATGCTTTACAAAAGAAGCCATGATCTTGTGACTTGTTCCCGTCAAAGTTTGGTTTTCCCACGAGGACATCTGACTGTGCGCTTGATTACCGCGCTTTCGTTGTCCGCAGCTTTGAGCACTGGATTCGCGGGTTTTTCGGGGTTTGTTGAGGCCGCGTTCGGATTTACCGATGACGCGCGTTATAGCGCATTGACGCGCGTCATCGCGTAGTGTGAAAGCTGCGTAACGTGCCACTGCCTAATGTTCAACTTTTACCGCTCGTTTTTCTTTAGACGATCTATTCGCTAGCGTAAGCGAGCAAGCTCGAATACGCCGCTCCTGCTCTCTGCTCAATACTCCACTGTTTCTTTTGCTTTTCTCTCCGTTGTTAAGTTTACTAACAAATACTCTTACGTTTTTGTACCCAATTTCCTAAGAGATCAAATCGCAAATGGTGTCTGAAATAAATTTTTTGATCCTTCCCAATGTGTTCAGGTCGTTATTTCTTACCCTGCTCCTTTTTCAGAACAAATTTATTGGGCACGCGATTTATTTTTTGTATTTGTCGATGGTGGTGCGCCAGGTATGGATGCCTGGTTATCAGCGTATCACTTGGTGCGGCATAGCGCCCTTCATGCTGAACCTCTTCCCGAAATGGGCGGTGTCATCATTGGAGGTGTTGCCATGAAGGTATGGAACTTAATTAATCATTTCAAGCTCCTTGTGAGCGTCAGGTTCCAAAGAAACATGGCTAGTGCAATTCGTTGCGAAGCCATGCGGTAGCGCCATCGATTTGAGGCGGGATGGTATTTCTCTGACCGTGAAAAATGGCAATACAGTCTTGTTCGTTGCGAATGCAGGGGTGGGTCGGGGTGGGTGGGTTTGACGCGGCACCAGCTCGTCATCCATCATTCTTTAAAGAGGGCAAGCGACAATGTTTGGTGGATAACGGGCTGGCGCCGCGCCAATCAACTCTGATTCGCCCCTGCATCTACAGCAAACAAGATTGTATTCCCATTTTCCACAGAAATAGGGCAGAGCAACTCGACAAGCAACTATCTCACTGAGAAGGGCGGCCGCGAACAGAAAAGTCGCAGGGACATCGTACGTCGAAGATCACCAGCGAGGGATCGTCTTTTGACTTTGGTTGTCTCTGGGTTTTTCGCGTTTCACGGCAGTTCCTTCCCCACCCGCTCAGAGCACTTCATTTGGAAAAAAA